GCCACCGGAGGTACAGGGCCAAATTGGCACCGGGCAGTTGTCTACAGATGTATTCACCTCAGCTGCAACAGGACAGTTAGATGCACTGAATCAGCAGGATGCGGGAGTTATGGATTTGGTGTGGGAATATCACACGGGAGCAGGAACAGAGGGCCCGGTGGACCAGGGGTATGAAGAACTGGGACCGACTGCGGTGGGGCAATCGGCGCAGGTACAGGGTCAAGGAGGCGGCGGGCAGTTGTCTACAGAAGTATTGGCCCTGCAGGCAGAAGTGCAGTCACAGCAGGAGGAGGAAGCATCCGATGTAATGGGTCACCATGACGTGGAATTGGACGGGTGGTTGATAAATGATCAGAATCCGGGGGCTTCCGGTTCGCTGGATGCGTTCGATCAGGACTGGGAACTGTTTCTGACGGACCACACGGAAGCAAAAACAAATTCGACCGTGGACCAGCGCTGCGAAAGACCGGGACCGGTTCTGGGCGGACAACCGGCGGAGTCACCCCGTCAACCTGGCGTCGGGCAGCCTTGTGTCGGAGAGGATGCAGTCTACCCGCGTGATGTCCTGGAGGGGCTGACCGCACGCGTTTTGAGTGACTGTCTAGCTGAAGGGGTGGATCCTGTGCGGCTGTGTGGCGATGAGGAAAGCGAGGCTGTCCGATGTGTTTTCAAGTGCTTCCAAGAAACAGCACTGGAGCGGAATGAGGACGTCTCGTTCGACGTCTGTACATGGCGTGCACAGGATCTTGCACTCTTTTTGCGAGAGAGGTTATCAAACCAACCACTTAGCCCAAGCAATGACTCAAGCTATCGCTTGCTTGGTCGACCCGGCTCCGAAGCGGGAAGCGAGTTCGATCTGCTAGTCGCTGTGGCGGAGCAGAGTCAGGCGAAGCCTCCGGAAGTCTCGGATACGTGGTTCCTAGCGTGTATGATAGACGACATCGGAGGAGCAGGTACCCTCTGGCGGCGCATGCCGAAAAGGCATCCCGCGCCGACTCGGAGGAGTTCTCTTTTGCCACTGTACAGAGGCACCATTCCGGATGACGTGTCGCGACTGCCACAGGGCGCGACGCCGACTAAGTTAGTAAGCACCGCTTCCAAACTCGAGTTCTGGCTGCACCAAGCGGCCACGGCTTTTTACGCTGGGAAGCCGGCCACAATGGTTCCATATCGGCGAACAGCTGAAGCCTCGGTTATACGCAGCGTGCTAGGTGCGGAGAGGTTTGATGAAGAGATCCGGGCTTGGATGGCTCGCATTCCAACATTTCCTTGGAGCAAGTTGACGACGACCTGTGATCAGGCTTCGTGTCTTATGGGCTGGGTCAACATTCCATTGAGAAGGAGCAAGAGGTCTGTTTGCAAACTGGCAGACTTGGCGCCTATCGTGGAACAGGACCGTGGTGCGGCTCGGCCTGGTGCGATTCGACCGCGTTCGCCTGAGCTGCCCGTGACATGCCGGCGGCCACTGTCGCGCCTGTCTAGCTGGGACGCGGCCGGCGACTCCGCGTTGAGGTCTTTCGTGGGGACTGTGATACAGGAATGTGTCACAGCAGAGCAGAAGGCAGCAGAGCGCTACGGAAAGGAGTGGTTGGATCAAGAAGGGATCATGCCGGAGGAAGGGAGGTGGGAAATGGCCATGTTTGTGGCAGTTAGGATGGGGCGACTGGAGCTGGGCAAGCTGGAAGCATGCCGCACCGGGCACGGTTTCACCTCCTGTGGTTGGCGGTGGTTGCATCTGGCTGGCGTCATTAAAGACCAGTTGGGACCCTCTGAAGTTGACGGCTTAGTAGCCGCGGCCGAGCGAGTGATCCCGCGCCCAGCCCACATCTCACCACTCTGGTTCCTCGCCAGTGTTCTGCGCTGGCCTGGCGCCAGGCAGACCTTCGACTATCACATCAAGAAGTGGCTCGGTGCCGGCGACAACGGCTGGACATTCTCGGTCAACCTGAACTGGGATGTGTTCCCCCATGACTTCGGCCCATTGCCCGAATCGCAGGCCTTCCGACAACAACTGGCGCTCCTTTGCTGGACAGCACACTGGCTCAAGAAGGGAGTCCGACACTTCGGACGGTCCCCTCAAGGACGTGATGTCCCCCCGTACAAGCTCTGGCGATCTTCGGGCTTCGACTCCGTCGCCCGCCTTGCCCATCGAGTACTCGGGGACGGCACGTTCAGCCAACTCATTGCGCTGTTTAGAGCGCGCCTCCCTCCAGCTGCCCATCTCTCCGACATCGTCTTAATGGGCTGCCTTCTTGAGCACTCCGGTCTCAAACATGAACGAGCCAACGAGCTCTGCAAACAGTTCCAATTCCATCCCGCTCGAACCCAGAAGCGACACCTCCAGAAGCGACACCTCCCCGCCACGAGCACAACGGCGAATTAAACCGACGAGCTGAGTACACCCCAGGCGAGCCGGGCACAAGGGCTGGCCATTAGAACGTTCGCACTTGGGTGGTGCACAATGGCCCTGTCTTCCGAGGCGGTGTATGATATTTTTAGTGCTAGGCACCTTTTGCCCCAGTTCGGCTTCATCCGAAGCTGTCATGACCGGTTTCTTGTTTCATCGATTTCTCACCAACGTCCGCCAGCAGGTCCACGTCCTTAACTGACTCTTAGCGCCAGATACAACCCTACTGACCGAGGCTTCTCCCTGATGTATCTTATGTGCTTTAGATGTCAATTTCTTCGGCTTGCGATCTGTGCTGTAGCTGTTTTTGAGAAGGTTGTTGCTCGCCGATTGATTAGCCTTTTGTGTCTAAGAAGTGTGTGCACACACTGCGCTAAGTAGAGATTTAGAATCAGAATGTGGTGATAGACATTTATCCTGGCGTAGATAGTTTCAAGACTTCGTTTCCTGGCGTCGAGGCCCCGATCAATATCGCCAGGCCGCGTGTTTTTCTTTGTCTCAAGCAGGCTCCCTGTTTTCGTAGCTTATTGGCCCTGTGTTAGCGTGGCCGAGTTGTGCACCACTGGCTTTATACTGTTTTTGGAGAGAGTAGAGTTCGTTCCCTCCCGCGAAACGATAGCAGTAGTGTAGCGCTGGCGCCGCGACGGACGGACGGTCATGAAAGAACTAGCTCGCCTCAATACTCCCCACGCAAAAGTGTTAAGGTTGGCGCCGCGCGCGTCTCCAGCCCTAATGCGAAGCACCACCCTTGCCGTCTAACCGGTGAGTTGCCGTCTAACCGGTGAGTTGCCACCCAGCATACACCCTCAAAGTTCATCACCGTGCGTCATACTTCACCTCGAGTGGCGGTAAAAAAAATATCTTATGCGCCTGGCGTGGTGTGGTGGGAATGCGAGACGCCGAGTGATGTTGCGGGCGACGGTGTTTATGGGGTTGGCGCCAGGCGCGGTACCCCCCACAAACGACCACGAGACCGTAGAAATGTCTCGGACAAGACCCGAGCTTTGTGATGCAGGATATATGGCTTGGACGAACCAGACGTATGGAAGAGCACATGCCATACACGATGCGGATTCGTCGCTGATGAACCAGGTGCGGGCTGATGCCACCACGGCAGACCGTCGGCAAGAAGCACGGGGACTGCCGCCGGGGGTACAGGATCAAGTTGGCACCAGACAGTGGTCTACCGACATGTTGACCTCAACTGCGGCAGGACAATTACATACGCAACATTTCACGGCTCAGCAGGATGCGGAAGAGTCCCGTGTGATAGATGACTTGACTATGGAACTGAATCGGTATTTGACGAACAATCCAGGAGCATCGAGTATTATGGATTTGGTGTGGGAATACCACACGGGAGCAGGAACAGAAGGCCCGGTGGACCAGGGGTATGAAGAACTGGGACCGACTGCGGTGGGGCAATCGCGCAGGTACAGGGTCAAGGAGGTGGCGGGCAGTTGTCTACAGAAGTATTGGCCCTGCAGGCAGAAGTGCAGTCACAGCAGGAGGAGGAAGCATTCGATGTAATGGGTCACCATGACGTGGAATTGGACGGGTGGTTGATAAATGATCAGAATCCGGGGGCTTCCGGTTCGCTGGATGCGTTCGATGAGGAC